TAAGAGGTGGGAAAGACAACGGACAGAGTGTCGACATACCGCTTGCGTCCGACAGTTTGGGTAGGCGAGACAGCTGACGCGCTGGCATTCGGATGAGCTCAGCTGCATGAGTAGAAGAAGGTGACGAACCCAGAGGGACCGGCAACCGGCGGCAAGGCTTGTGATTGGCCGCCAGATCCTGGTATCGCTGCAGCGACGTACTTGCGACGCTGTGGAGTCGTAGTCGCACTCTGAGTGCCAGTCGATCCAGATAGGACGTGCGGGCCGAGATTGAGCGTAATGTGCTCAAGTTGGATTTGTAAGAGGCCGTTCTCGGAACGGCCCGCACAAAACCCCGCAAATTGTGTGCAATTGAGAGGTTGCGGGACAGGTGTATTCTTCCAGCGATTCGTTGCTGGGAACATGCACCTAGCTCAGCTTTAGTTGGAGCAAGAAAGACGGGAGCGAACTGACAGGATATTAAATTGCTTCATCGCGCCTCCCACATATTCGGCCATGGCAAGCTCGAAGGCTTTGATGCCGGGAGGAGCCACGATTGGCTTCGACGGGACGTGACCAATGCCAAAGAAGAAGGTCGGGATATCGGGGACGTTGTCCTACAGTGACTGAGCAAGACCGAGACAGGACGCGGCATAATCATGCTTACCTGATATCCTTCGGATCGTACGTCGCCAGGCACAGCATAAAAGGAGATAGCGTCCAAATCCACAACAGCGGCGGAGCCACTGTGTGCCGCAACCTTGGCAACAACGAAGGCGAGGGTGTCATCGGGAAGGGTGTTATCGGTAGGGCCGGAATAGACCCGAAGACGAGCGGGAACAATCTCGGTGGTGGGAGTGGTGATACTTGTGTTGTAATGACAATACGTCGTCGAGTGACCATTGTGGCTGTTGTAGCTCGATTGGCGGTTGCCGCCCGCCAACGCGAAGAAGCCAGTAGCGATGAAAGAGGACATGGGAGTGATTAGTGCTTGAAGTTTGGCGTGAGTGGGCTATTCTTGAGCGTATAAAAAGAGCACCGTATCCAAGGCTGTTCAACAGCTTTAGATCTACGCACTGCGGACTGAGGAGCTCGTGGGGAAAATTATGTGGGGTAGATTTTCCAGCAGTGGGGTAAAGCGGAGAGGATTTAGTGATTGATTAATAAGTACAAATCTGATCAAAAACCAAACATGAGTATACATTCACACGCATGCTCGATAATAGAAGAGTAATCAAAAATATACCATGGCAGGAACATCGTAGTCCTGGCAGATTTCAGCTAGCAAGTTGCAAGTCTTGACCAAGTTATCTGCTCCGCCCTTGCTTTGCAACTCTTGCTGGGTGCGCGCCTGGAAATATTGTCCTTCAGCGCTACAAATATCGTAGATCAGATTGCTGGTGTGGACGGGGGTCTTGCCCTTGTAGGCCGTGATGAGATTAGACATGCCGGCGGCACTTATCAGGGCGCCGCCAACATCCTCCAAGTTTTTCATTGTGGGAAGCGGCTGGGATGCCAGCTGCAAAAGATGTTGGGAACAGCTAGGCTGTAAAATAAAAATCGATTTTTATAGGGTTAAATAGATAGATATGACTAATATAACACCATATATAGTAAGCTAATCACCTTTTCTTCAGGCCGATGATGCGGATAAACAGTAGGACAAGACTGTAATACAGAATAATGAAATTGATGGAATGATATGTCACATCTGATCTAACACCATAGATCCATCAAAACCATTGATCTTCATCAAAAATGCTTCCACATGGCAAGACATATCTAGATGCCATCAATCCCATCATGATCCAAGGCCCAGAAAGCTCAAAATAAATTAAAAAGTCGAAAAATATTAGAATAAACCTGAATTTCTAGCCCTTTTGCATTACACTGTGTGGCAATAGCCAACATCTTTTGCATAGAACTAGCTATATCAGCTAGGCAGAGTGTAGGGTTTTGTGAACTCGTATTCAGGATCACTAGGGAAATAGAGGTTGTCGCCTATGATGCATGATGACTGCGTGGGTATGCCCCCTTGTTGGGCAGTCTGCAGGTTACGCAGCCGGGCGTGAGCTATGTCGATCTGCATAGGAGAGCCGATCGGGTAGGTAACACGCTGGTTAGCGCCGACGGAGTGGCCATAGCCACCGAGGGTGTGAAGGGAGTAGGGTAAGGCTGAGGGGTAGGAAGAGATGGTGCCGCAGCCTGCATAGGTTGGGTAGTAGTGGCAGCAGGTTGGCGGGGCAGGGAAGACAGGAAGAGGGGGGGAAGACAGTCGTGGCGGGGCACCTGAGACTGGGCATGGATCACGGTGGACAAGCGGTGCGGAGGGGCACCGTCGACATCTATCTTCGTGGCATGTGGTACAGGCACAGGCGCAGCAGGAGGAGGGGGGGCAGGTCCCTCAGCCGACGGTGGCTGACGTTGCTTCTTCGCACGGACACACTTGCGCATGAACCGTTTCCCAAGCGTAATAAGCGCTTCACCGATTTGCTGGTCGGTTCCCTGAATAGAGACCCGGCGCTCGCCAGGCACAGTGCGATCAGAGTATGCGCGCAACTGAGCACCGGAAGTGTTGTGAGCTTGGTGGAGACCCTTGCCGCTACGACCCATGATATACCCGACAGCCGAGTCAGGCACCACAAGCGTACAAGAGAAGTGTGTAACAGTGTCAGGCGCAGTAGGAGGGAAGGTTTCGGCAAGTGGTATAGAAGTGTGGGCAGCAGCAATGACGGCAGGGGTAGGGGCCGGGACTGTTGGAAGGACCCAGTGAGTGTTGTCCCAGACACCATGGAATGTAGGACCAGGGGAAGGGGAGCAGGGGAATAGAGCAGGCAGACTATACTCAAGGCGGTCTAGACGGTCGGTGAGGCGAGTAATTTCGCTCTGCAGGAGCAGGCAGTACGAATACAGGTCAACAGGGACACCAGGAGTCGTCATTGGAGAAGAGCAGGCAAGCACAGTAGAGTGAGGACGAGTATAGGAGATAGAGAGGATCAACTGGGGCTAGAAGAGTGCCAGAGTCGATGTAGAGGCTTTGGTATGCTGTCAGGGGATGAGGGTCCAGGTGCCTAGTTGATACTAAAGCCGGGGGAACAGCCCCACCGCCAACTACTTAAGTACAGGGCTATCTGCGCACAGACCACTCACAGCTGTCACATCACATGCTCCCCTTACCAGTACACTAATCCTTTGTATACTAAACACATCAGATTTTTTGGCCGAAATATGTTGGTGGGTCACCGGTCACAGCTGATTTTTTTGGTCCCAAAGTGTCCTAATTGGGTAGATTTTCAAAATTTCCGCACCTGCGGCATGCCAAATTTTCTAATCAGGTAATAGGTCACACAAAATTTTGGCCTGCAGCTGAATTGAACATTTCGCCGAAATGTTTACGGGTCACAGGCCCACTGAATTGATCGAAATGGGTCAGTATTTACAGAGATGGCTATAACATTAACCATGGATAACCCAAGAACAGTAGCCTTAGATTGGACTTCATAGAATCATGGTACTGGATGCAAAACAGCTTTGTATCTCAATTAGGCTTGGTTACATTTTCCAGCTTTTCTTATCAAATAGGGCTTCAACTCGAACAGCCTGAGCAGTGACCCTGAAAATGGAAATGCAGAGTAAATGGATTGCTAAGGGCCAGTGCCAAACATGTGTATGCATTCACACAACATCTGCTTGATATAAGAGTAATATTTTCATAGATGATTATAGAGAAGGCATATTATAATGATTATACTTGAAATATAATCTGGCATAATATAATTGTGGACAGCACATGAACTTCTACCATCTAGGTAAGAATTTTCATTGTTTGCCCTAACCCCCTTATTAAGGGAGGTCCATCTTCTTAAGGCTTACTCAAGGCTTAGGGCTTGAATAAGCCCCCCTGAGTCCCCTCTCTTAGCACCTTAACTTGACACTTATTATATTATTTTTGTAATATAAACGATTTCATTTAATAGTATTAAGCTGCTTCCATTATACTTAGGGCTCCAACTTTTTCCATTTGCAAATATTTACGAATGGTAATAAATGTTTAAATGACCATTTTATTTGTGAACTTGGGCAAACAGAAATTAAATATAAATGAATAGTTTTCACTTCAAACAGACTTAAATCAATATCAATAGTGTAGTTCAGGTATTCAATGTGAGCAACACTTGGACACCATCTTAGAAACAATATTTTATTGCTCTAAATGTCAAATTACTCATCTCCCTAGCACTAAACAGCATTTTATGCTTCCTACATTGGTAATAAAATCAAGAGAAAGCTTATTTTTGATATTGATATTAGATTGAAACAAGCTATTCAAGCTAAAATGAACATGTTTCTCACTGGTCGTTGCATATAGGTCATAAAGGTTAACAATGAATATTGAAAACTTGACCTGAAACTACTCAATTTTATCTGATTACTACAACCATTTATAAATAGCTTTAAATATTTATTACTGTTCATGTCTGTGTTTCAATTTTATTTGAAATTTTGATAAACAGAAATAAAATAGTTAATTTATAATGTAACTAGTATGTAGGAGGCTAATATGTATACTGCATCCTATTCCTTGACTTGACTGTAGAAAATATTACTTATTGTATTATTAAGGGCTTATTTACCATCACCAGGCATCTTAAGCCTCATGTTAAGCCCACCCAAGGGGGCTTAGCTTATTAAGGGCTTATGCCTTGAGACAAACACTGAGAATTTTGCCATGGTGTTCTCCCTAATGATGATGCCTCCTAAGATAGCATCTACTAAGTTATATGCATCATAAAGACTAAGGTGATGAGCGAGAGATTCAATGGCTCTAATGGCTGTAGCACAACATCTCTAATATATCTGAAAGACTTTTGTACACTTCAAGTTTTACTGATGTGACTTTCATTTACTCCATCGTACTGCCAGTGTGTAATTTCTATTGCTATTTTTGATTTCGAGTCAGCTCTTTGTTTACCGCATAAGATTCAAGTTGTTACAGGAAAACACGGCTTGTGTTGAAATGTTCAGACACTCCGAGTCAAATGGCACTTGAAATGCACCTTCAAGTTCCCGTTAACAAATAGGCCCGAAGTCGCACGGGTCGCGGCACTTGTCTGCCACGGCAATGAGCCCGGGGCAGCACTCGAGCTCGAAGCACCCCTGGTCATTGCAGAAGATGTTGTCGCTGAAATTCGGGATGCAGTCCCGCGGCCCGGGGTTTGGGCCGAGCGTGCCATTCGAGCAGCTGCGGCGTGGCGGTCCAGCTTGAGCGCAAGTTCATCAGAAGAGGAACATGTGGACGCACGTGTAGGAGTCAGGCCAGTAGCATGCGTCACCGCAAGGGAGATATGCGATCGTCTCGGATTTGGGGCAGAGGAAGTCGCCGTCATAGCAAACGTACTATTGCATGATTAACTATCAGCCAACTTGAAGATGAGAGCCCTTACCGCGGAGGGATCGTAGCGCGCCGCGCCGCAGTCGAAGAGCTGGCCCGAGAGGTTCGGGTTGTATCCGATGAGTGTGGTGTTGTCGCACGTGAACTTGTTCGGGTCGTAGCAGAGCCCGTTGCACGAGATCGTGCGCACTCCATTGACGACGGGGCAGAGGACGGCGTTGTCGAAGCAGCTGGCCTATGGGTAGTGTCACCTCTCGCCACCAGCAGAGATAGAACGCAAGTCGCGACTTGCCGTGGAGTAAAAGTAAGTGGACGCGCCGCAGGTGAGCAGTGTCTGCGCAAGGGCACTGGTGGTCGCCAGGGCAGTGACGAATGCAGCGGAGAGAGAGAGCGAGTGCATTTTCGAGTTGCAGGAAGTGAAGATAATCCAGGGCCTTTTGTACGCTCGCTGGTGGCCCGAGCAATGAGTCCGATCTGGAGCCGAAGCCAGGCGGCCGTCCAGGGCACACATAGAAGGTCTTGGGCATCCAGACGGCGCCATGGCCAGTGCTTGAGAGATGGATGGTAGATGGGCAAGGCACCGACGCAAAAATAAGTTTGGGACCAAATTTAGCGCGTCCTTATTCGGAAGAACATTCATGGGCCTTGTACATTGTGTTACCAATGGCACAGTGGATATTGCCCGACGCCAGTGCGCAATTGGAGTCGCTGCCAGTGGTGTAGTTCGGAACTTGAATCCAAATGGTAGCTTTTTTTGAGCTTTTTGGTGTGTGGGTTAACCTGCAACAGAACGTACTATATCGACGCACCCAAAGTCCATAGCATCCCTGTTCCGACATCCTCGCTCCAGTAGTTAGCCTTACACTGCTAGTTTTTAAGTTACAGGTTAGGCAATTGAATGCTAGCGCTTCAAGAACTTCCCATTGTCGACGGATGATGTATTAGTCCCTGGGCGCTCATGACGAGTCCCTGGGCGCTCATGACGAGCACTGACAGCCATATACGGGCTATGTCAGTGTATCCTGTCCGAACTCGCGTCCGAGGACTGGATGATGGGATGGACGAAGAACGGCGCACTGTGACTGATTATAAATAAATGATAGGGGGTCACATCGGATGACTCAACGGCCTTTTCTACATCATCTTTCATCTTTGCTTGACAGACTGCACTTTTTCGCGGAAACAGTGGCACTGCAAGCGCTTGGGCAGCCATGGGTTGCGGGGTATTTCAAAGCTGTTCGGAACTGTCGCGGAACTGGCCGGCGCTTCGAGTTGTCGGTTGAGAAGGCCCAGAAAAAGGTGCGTGTATCTCCAAGCCTTTTTAGACGCCGAGACCAACTCTTTTCAGCTCATTCTACACGCTGTGCGCCATCGAATATAACACTGCTCTCTTTATTGCGAGCGTCCGACGCACTATGACTTGGAGAAACATGGGACGGAAGGTGCATTCTGAAGAACTTCGGTATCGTACAGCCTTTACTGTCAAATCATGACATTGACGCCCTATAGCCTCTTCGGAAGCTGTTGTTCTTAGCCACGACCATGACTTCACTCCTCCATGCCCTCGCGCCATGCATCCCTACCGTCCGCGACGAGCCCCGTCCAGCGCCGATCTCAACCTCCCTGCAACTTCCCAACGAACTATGGGTTGAGATCTTCGTTATGCTCGACACGAATGACCTCCTGCGAGTCTCCGTCGTCAACAGGACGTTCAACGCCCTCGCAATCCCGCTCTACCTTGGCCGCTTCGGCGTCAAGCAAGCCGCTGTTCGTGTCGGGGAGCTAGACATCCCCACACACCACCGCCACTTACCTGGCATCCTCCGACTAGCGTTCTTCCTCCCCCCCATCACCAGCCTTCGTTGTGCCATCTCCATCCAACAACGATACGACACGTTGCACCACTTCACGTCCTTCTTCGCCAGCTCTCGGCTGTCCCGCGACCACATAGCCATCGAGTTCCATTCCGAGCATGCCTTCATGGCACGCGACTCGCGGTTCCGTCTGGTCACCACGGTCACGATGCAGCGCGCTGTTCGCGACCTCCTCAATGCATCGATGCCCACGAAACGCGCGCTTGTCGTCTTCGGGGATACCGGGCGGAGTATGCTACTTGACCCAACTCCGCCTGGTCTGCGCCGTTGGCGCCTGGTCAAGCACCCGCCCAACCCTCCCCATTCCGGTCTCCGCCCTCGCCTCCGTCACGCTCTTCACATACGCCGGCCCGCCCTTGAACGCGTTCTGACGCTTTTCGCCTCGTTTACTTCGGAGAATGGGACGACCACCAGAACATCGGAGGGAATCGACGAGTTGTGGTCCGTTGATGTCACCTACAACCTCGGCGACGGACTTGCCCCATGGAGCCTCGTTGTGCTGAACGGTTCCCGGAGTCGCACTTTCAGAATGCCCACCTCTATCCGCAATATCGTAGCGGTCGGCTCTCTTTCGTGGGCGGATCTTCTCCCGCGTATGTCTTTCCCGGCACTTAAGGAGCTCCACATCACCAGTGGTACGCCGTTCAGCAGCACAGACAGCCGGGGCATACAACTACACGAAGTGTCTGTGGAGGCTTTTGACGAATTTCTTGTCCGTCATCCCACAATCAACAAGCTAGACTATCTACCTGACTTCGGGGTCTCGCTCGCTGATTCCCCGGCTCCCGGCTTTGCATTCGTCACCCTCACGCATCTCACCACGACTGCCGCCTATTTCATCCGCTCGTTTCAGAGCCCAACTTGCCTCCGTTCGCTTGCTGAATTGCGGCTGCTGGACGACATTGCACATCCGGCAAAAACTGAGACGATGGTGGCGCTAATGCATATCCTTGCCGCAAACAAGCCCGATGATGCTTTCCGGATGAGCCTTCCCGCGTCATGGCCACCGCTTATATTTGCAGCCGACCTGCAGGTCGATCCGATATCGTGTGTTGGCCAACTGCATCTCTTTGATGTTCAGCAACCGGAGGATGTGCCCATATTCCTCCGCCATCTTGTCAACTTTGTCTCGCTCTTCGAGCCCGCAACCCTCCGCGGCGTCGAGTTACAGGCACCGTCTTCGAATACTACCTCGACGTTTTGCAGAAATACGGCGGATACCCTGCGCATGCGCGCTCCCTGGCTCGAAGACGTTGTCTGCGTGCGAGTCTCTGCTTTGGTATCGCCCTTCGCGCGAAAGCCGAGCGGGAAACCCGGGGAACAGCGGAAACGGCGGGTGTTCCGGCTGCGCACGCCGAAGCCGGTCGTGTGGAGATCGGAGCAGTGGGTTCCTGTGGATGAGGATGATAAAGGCACTTAAAGCAGGAGTGGCATTATGAATGTTTATTTGACTGTTTATTGCGTCTATTGAAATTTGTCTAGATGCATCAGGACATTGACTCGCACGTTTGCTCTACGAAAGCCGTATGTATGTGTATTTGACAACCATAATGAACCTGCCACCAATAACAAAATAAGCGCAGCTGTCTCGTCGACGTGAATGTGGTCCTTATATGTCGCTCCGACGTCACGAGAGGTCTATTTTTGAACCTCCTCGTAAGAGAAGGCTATTTACTTGCATTTCTGCTATCAAGTTAACCACGTACACAGGCACATCAATTCGATGGCCAGCCAAGTTTGACGTTCAAGTTCGCTGCTTGCTCGCCCCTCATACTCCTGTATCCAGTCCCATTGCCGCGGCGGAGATGGCTTACACGTACATCAGGCCTCGAGCGCTTGCCATGCGAGCATCCAGCTCGTAATTGGCAGGTACAGCCAGGATTTGGGGGTATATAAAAGCCCTGGCCTTGTTCAAGGTGTCCTGCAGTCCAACGAACGCCCTTCAGGCTCAAGTCATCTGCATATTGTCTAGAATGTCTGCGCTTATTCGCACCACTGTGCTCGCTGTGCTGCTGGCCGCTGTCGGTAATCATGTTGCCGTTGCCCAGGACCTTTTGGACTGCGGGGTGTCCCGGTACTATTACGCAGACGTAGGTTCAACCCCTTCTGAAATCGACCCTTCGAGTAGACTAATTATCTGCTCAGTACTCCTGCTTCGATGACACGTTTTTGTGCCCAGTTCAGAGTGGAGTCCGCACCCTCCGCTGCGGCGATGCGTGCTACAATCCGAACGAATACACGTCAGTAAATATTTGACATTTAATCGGCATTTTAACTTGCTTGTTTTAGGTGCTCCAACACTACGCTCGAGTTCTACAACCCCGACGTCGCTGGACAGCTCTTTGACTGTGGAGACTCCAGATACGATCCCTCTGCCGTATGCATTTGAACTTGTTCAAGTGTTGATTCTCATAAAATTAGTATGTGTGCTACGACGGCGACTTCCTCTGCCCCAAGTCCGGCACTGTTCCGACTCTGCCCTGCGACACCGCGTGCTACGCCCCGGACCTCTACACGTGCGTCCCCGCCTCAGCGTCATCGCGATTCGCGATGTACTCTTGCTGATCACTGTGATATATCGACAGATGCACGGACGGCCAGCTCTCGCCCAACCCCGGCCCGGCCGACTGCGTCCCGAACTTTGGCGCCAGTCAGGCGTGCAACGACCAGGGCTGCTTCCAGCTCACCTGCTGCCCCGGCCTCATTTCAATCGGCGACAAGTGCCGCGATCCGTGTGATTTCACGCATGATTGTTAGAAATGGGGTTCATGACTTAGTTTCTGGATATTATCTGTGTAAATGATGGGTCTTTCTTTGGGCTTCGTGTAGAAAAAAATCAATATGTTGCGTGGTTGATTGACAAATGATGTGACTGATTTCATCATCGCGTTACAGAACACGTCAGCTTCTTCCCCTCATCTGTCCCGCGTGCCAACATGTAATCTGTACCGTGCGCGACGCGCGCGGGGCAGGCTCAATATGTGCCCCGCGCGCACCCAACACCGCTCTCCGCAGGCCGAGCTTACTATCCTCCCGCACTGCATCGAGGACGCGCAATGACGGCAATTTTTTCAATGGGATCTTCAGGCTGGCACGTCGGAAGTTCGGATTCGCCTTTGTCTAATGGGTCAATTTAGATGTCTGTATATCGCAGGTGTGCCTCCGTACCCGTATCGTACCACTAATCGAATTGAACACGGAGGAGACTCTACAGCCCAATGCGGGACATGATACAAGGCCGTTGACTGAAAAATCGTGCCATGGTGGAAGCTGCGGCCGGTCCGGTACTTAACAAGGCTCTTCCAATGGAGTCTTTCAGTACTTGCCCTTCTCAATGGAGGAAGGCCCAAGAACGTCGCGCAGGGATTCCCGGACACCGTCAAATCGGTCGCAAGCTTGTGGGAATTGTCGCAGTCGGAAAATCGTCGGTTTCGTCTCAAGAGTACTGCGACGCGTACTCACTTTGTTTGCAGCGCTGTGACTTGCAACGGCCTAAGTGTGGCCCGTGCTCTCGCTCTATGCAGTTTCAGGATTGCGAATTTGTAGCCAATAACGGGAGAACGCAGGCTCAAGTGCTGCAAGGTGTGCATCAAACCTCACAGATACTTATTGGACTCATGTCTGGTCAGAACAAATCGCCATCGTTGAAACCCGCATCGACGCCCTAGAACATCCTTCAGAAGATGCTCTCATGCTCGAAAATCCATATGCCCCTACGACAAGCGTCAGCCCGCGCTATATCCCATCCCTACGCACGTTGCAACACCTCGTTCAAGCGTTTCTGTCTGGACACGCCGCGAAAATGGGATACTTTCTCTGGTCCTGCGACGTCAATCATGCAAGCCTCGGTCTACAAAGCGCTGTCCAGCTCTGGGCACTCCATCTCTCTCATAATGCCGAGCATCAAGCTCACGAGTCCACCTGGCTTCAACGCGTCTTGAGTTCCCAACCGGCGTCTTCGCCCATTGAAACGATACAGACGGCTGTCCTGCTTGCCACATATTTCTTCACCCACGATCGGATTCGGGAGGGAAAGTACCATCTCAGTCTTGCGGCTGGCACTGTTCTTAGCGCTGGTTTCCACCAGCTGCGCTTGCCCTCAACTCGCAGAGAAGCGGATCATGTAGCAGCATTTTGGACTGTCTTCACACTGAACAACTGTTGGAATGCGTCCGACGCGGCACCTTTCAACACCACATACGATGAGGAACCCCAGCTCCGCATAATGACACCATGGCCTGGGGAAGACATCACCGCCGTGGATACCAGGGGTCGGCATGGTCAGGTATGAGCAACGTCTGCTGTAGAGCTCGAGTTTGCTCTGACCCCCACCAAGACAGTGGCAAATTTCGTGGGTCGTCAAGTACACGCTGATGCGGGCTCCAAGGAGGCTCTCCTGGCAAAATCAGGCATTTTATATGAGCGGGCTTGTCATATCGGTCGCCAGTATGAAGCGTGTGGGTAACTATTTATCTTTCTAACTGGTCATGACCGTTTTTTGACTAGATGTGCACCAATCGGATTTTGACAACTTGGCTCGAGCTTTCGCGTCGCTTGACGAGCTTGTTGAAGATCTCAAGAGAAGCGCGCTGGCCCAGACAATCAGAGAAATTCCGTTTCAGAACGCAGATCTTCTGACTTGCTGCTTGTTGCATGCCGCAACTATCGAACTGCATCGTCCGTTCCTCACTCAACGTGGAGGCAACTCTCAACAACGTGTTCTTGAAGCCGCTAAGGCTGTTGTCTCCCATCTCGAGTCGCTAGCGCTTCGTCATGCCAGCGACGACGTGGCTAATCCTGTCCTGGCGGTATGTGAATCTAGACCAGATATCCTCCACGAAGTTGACCCGGGCCGATATTTTCCTAGGTCTTGCTTGATTCAATGGCAAAGGCATTGTTCGCCGTCTCAGGGGACATACCTTCTGCAGCGCCAACTAATCATACACAGCGCCTCAAGCTTGTACTACTCTCTGGGCTCCCATCAGTAAAAGGTGCATAAAGTCTTTTGAATCTTTAGTCTTTTTGGAGGATCTTTGGTCTTGGGGACCAAGTCTTTTGAGTCTTTAGTCTTTGAGGTGTGATCTTTGGTCTTGGAAAGCTGTCTTAGGTCTTATTCTAATATGATCTTTGGACTAGCAAAATAAAATCCCTTCAGATGTAAGAAAATGATATTGAATACCATCCAGTGAACCAACATTCATATCCGACAATTCATAGTAAAAGGTTTATTTCATTGTTTCTGAGTTCTGAGTTCACAAATATCATGATATGTCAGTGATCAAATACGGCCCTAAAGTTCTCTGATGTGTGTCACATCGATGACACGTCAATGACAGATGGCTGATGAGCGACGGCGATCGGTCGCCGCTTTTCTTTCTTCCTTTCCCCCATCTCCCGCCACCTCCAAAGTCCATTCCCGCCCATTATCGACTCAATTCCGACAGCAAGCGTCCCAAAGTGCAAGTTCTTCAACTCTCAATGCCTTTTGGCTTCAAAATGAAAGCTTTTTCTCAAATGCGCGTCAAAGACCCTCAAGCCGTCAAGCCTCAAGCTGCACTGCAAGCCTAGCCGAAGTCCCTCCGCTCGGCGTCTCGCACCCCTTCTCTGCCCCTGCCATTAACCCCAACACCGCGTAGGGAAGCAGGATGCTGACTCAGTGCCGGCGCTTGGTGAGTGTCGTGTTTGCGTTTGATTTTTTCACTGAACCCACCCTTTGCCGATGTCCGCGTGCTCGGCGGGCTCCCGGTGCTGCCAAATGCGGTCTTCGCGGAACCAATGGTGGCCGCCACAATGCCTCCTGCCTCCCGCCGCCACCGTCCCTTCCCAATTCAACCCGCAGCATCGAAAACATCTCCACTCCCGCGCCGCTCACGTTCACTACATTCTGCACCCAAGCGGCCAAGCCAACGTCCTCGCGCTCGGTGGGATCCAGACGGCGCCGAGTCGTCAGAGGAGATTCCGGCCAGGCTGGCCAGAGGGCTCGTGTTAGGCGGTCAAAACCTCCTGCCGGCCCGCAGCTGTCTGCTATGGAATGTAGGATAAGCATAGTTGAATAACCAAATTGTATTAGCTATATTGAATTTACTGCTGCTATTTACTCTTTACATTGCATCTTTAGGAGTCTTTGGAGGTCTTAAAGCAGGTCTTTATTGTGGTCTTTCATAATCTTTGAGAAAGACCTTAGGTCTTTTCCAAGACTGGGACGCCGCTGGAATAAGACCCAGTGTCTTTTGGGTCTTTCAGGTCTTTCAGATCTTTTTGGTCTTGCCCAAAGACCAGAAAGACCTGAAAGACTTTTGTGCACTTTTACTGATGCCAGACAATCATTCAGGCGCTGATGCTCTTCTCACGTTCGGGTCACAGCCTAATATTTGGTATGCCTGTGCCGTGCCTTCCACAACGGTCATCTTCCTAACTAAAAGTCAGATGCAAAGCTGAAGGAAGTGATGCGACTGCATCAGCTAATGCTCACATCTGATAGTTTGTAGATGGCTGCGACAGCTGAGTCGATCATTTTATATCAATCGATGTGTATTCGGTTCTAAAGTTCTGAATGCGATTTTGTTAAATTGGGTCAGGTACCCACCTATCCAGCTTATTAGACACAATGCCAGACGAATACCCGGTGTCGAATGGCACCGTTGACAGGCCTCGTCGGGTCGGGATTCGAGTTAAACTGAGGGCATGTTTGATATCAAGCCAGGGACACTGCTGTCTCATGTCCACGACCCGACACCAGGCTATTGAGGAAGCAACTTGTGCTATTGTTAGCATTCCTGGTATAAAAGGGTGAACAGTATCATGATCATAAGAATGTCTACAGGGACTCGGAAGATGTTGCAACTTATGAGCCTGAGCGCTTATCTTGCTATTCTCACTGCGATAGCCGTTACTCCCGCCCAAGTTTCCGCTCAAGGACCTGGACTCGGCTTGTTGACCTGCGGAACAACTCAGTATAATTACACACAGGTGAGACAAGCTTGCTGCTTGAGCTCATGCCAGTGGGGATTGGGTAAATGCGTGGAGAATTAATACTTTCACAGTTCACCTGCTTTGATGATACTCTGTTATGTCCAGTGCAGAGTGGCATTCGCTTCCTCGCCTGCGCTGATCAGTGCTACGACCCTAATCACTTTACGTATGTCTTGAATTTCAACTCGGAGGGCAAACTTGGACATTTAATTTCGCAGCTGCTCCAACACCACACTTGTGTCATATTTCCCATCTACTCCAGGACAACTATTTGATTGCGGCGATGCACGATATGATCCATCTTTGGTATGATGCATTAATTTTGAATTTCCTCTCTGGACTCGGAGTTCTGATCATGCTCATTTTCACCAGTACTCCTGCTTTGATGGCGACTTCCTCTGCCCGAAATTCCTTACCATCCCAACCCTTCCATGCGGAGGTGATTGCTACTCGCCTTCGAAGTACACGTGCGCCATTTATGTCTTGCTGAAGGCTGTCACTGATTATATGTGAATGTGATAGGTGCACAAATGCGACCCTCTCCCCAAATCCTGGTCCGCCGGACTGTATTCCAAATGGCGGAACCAACGAAATTTGCAATGATCAAGGCTGCTTCCTGCTGAACTGTTGTCCAGGATTGATTTCCGTTGGGACAAAATGCCGCAACCCTTGTGATTTTCACAGTTGCTGAATCCTGATTGTACTGTAATGACAAGCAATTATAGTAGTTTAGCAAAGCATTCAATGGTTTCCTGCAAATTCTGTTCTTCAAGCTTCATTGCCAGAAGAAACTAGTACCAGCCTTCCTGGCGACAGCCTACAGGTACTGTAGTATTTTACTCATTTCAAATCTCACCTGTCACACTCATGCTATTACTGTAGTATTTCAATAATTTGATCAAGTGTCTGGCCTTTTTGGTGCCTGAGAAGGCTGAAAAAAAATTAATTGTGATTTTAGCTGTTATTTTTCAAGGAGTTTTTTTGGCTGTGTAACACGTAACACAGACACTTGATTGAAATACTACAGTATATGATTTTTTCATATATCCAGTTATGGAAATTTTAGCATCCCAAGATGGTAATAGGCACTTTGCGATTCCCACCAGGAGCCACCCAGTGGCTAAAATCATTGTGATGCCGGGTGGCTCCGGTGGCTTTTTTGCATGAAACTCATGGCCTTTTTGGGTGAGATTTCAATTCCAGAAAACGATACCCCACTGGCAACCCAAAATAGTCATTTATGATGTATTATGGAGCCACTGGATTGCAGAACAATTTTTAGCCACCTAGTGGCTCCCTGTGGGAATCGCAAAGTGGCTAATTTTTCCCCCAGTGCCTGTGGTGCTGGGAGTTTCCTATGAATTGACTTCAATTGAGATCTTCACCACAGGAGTTTGCAGATAAACCAGCCCATTTTGATTGATTACAGGGAAGCATGATGACATCAGTACACATGTCACTAGTCAGTCAGTCCCCCCAGCCAGCCATGAATTTTTTTTAATAATTTTGTAAGGGCAACCCATCAAGATCCTAGCAGGAGAGGATCAGAGAGGATCCAAAGAGGAGAAACTCTAAGGGTCCACCTACCAGGTAGCTGATCATATACTGCTTGTCCGTAGCTGCTGCTGCGCAAACCAAAAAGAATATGCGAGGGTTTTGACTAAGGTTCTGACTGGCATGTAGCAAAGACGATGGCAGCAGGGATGGATGCTGACTAAGCGCAGGCAAAGGCAGAGTTGATACAGATGCGAGAACACACAGAAACTAGGCAGTAACTGTGGGGGAGAATAATCTGAGTTGCAAGTAGGGAAGTACAAGCTTTTTATACTACAAAAAGGCACTAATAGTGTGATAAAACAAAATAACTCCAGCGGGAGTCAGAGCATGTCTCAGGGCCGCACCAGATGAGTCACTGAGGTGGTGACACATTGCCATGAAGCACCTGTACGTGTTTGATTTGGTTGATGAGGCAGGATGCTGACATGAGTTGGATTTGGTGATGCCATGATCTGCCGTGGAATGGCGGTTTTGGCACTCAGCGGAGCTAGAGGCACAACAGCAGCATCACAGACTGGGCCGCACAGAAACGGTCGGGAGGGTGTTGACTGTCGGGCTTCAGGTTGGGCTGTGCAAGGCTTCTCCTGAGAACACGTACCCAGAACAGAACAGCACCATCCCACTGTTACGGGTCATGCCTGGTCTTCTTCTGGAGCACTACCTTGTCTTGGATGACCTTGCTAAACATGTGTACATACAGTTGGAGCATCGAACAAGCTCTACAATACGCCTACAGTTCTGAGAACAGCTGTATCATTATCTCAAACACACCTGGGTGTCACGGATAAGACCCGGCCCGTCCGCTCTGGTGCTGGTGCCGGGCATGTGACAATGGGGAACAGGCACCCCAGTAGGAGGAACACACATGTGGGAAGCATGTGACCGAGAACGACGCAATAAGCTGTTGCCGAGCCCAACTCGACACCAGGGGATTGAGGAGGAGTGCTAGGAGGCAAAGAGTAGTGCTGTCAGGGGAACCCCTGCTTCGGCCTCCTTCGGACTGTCCAAGCGCATCCAAGGCGCATCTGACTGGCGCCCCTCGGATGCTCCGACCTACCCTGACCCTCGCCCTCGGCCTCCTTCACCCGCACAATCACCGATCCGTCAAGACCCTCCCAACAATCACCTTGGGACAGAGCCTGCAATGCCCCTCAGGCCTTCTGCGCTTTATGTCGGCAGTTACAGATGACCAGTATATAGTTGGTGCCCTAGCAGGCGGACCCTTAGAGTTTCTTCTCTTTGGATCCTCCCCTGCTAGGCTTTTGTTGGAGTCTCCAGGGTTGCCCTTACAAGCGCCTGGCCCGCAAGGGATGTATGATTGTCCCCTCTGCAGCTAGGAACGGGGTGGGAAGGAGCAGGAGAGGATAGGGTGTCTGATCACCCCTTTGTGGGCCCACATATATAAATGCACGATAGCGTACCATGTACTCTATCGCTTAGATTGTCTAAAGTACCACTTCTCTCCATGCA